CCGTTTCATTGTTTTGGGACACCAATATGGCCGCCGTGACGTCATGTGAAAACACTCTATTGAGTCTTATTTCTGTTTGATTGATTATTTGGTTGATTTCCATTTTATCCACTCTGCCATGGATATTTCAATCGATTGCACCACAAACCTTAAATTCCAATTCCTCAGTCTTTAATTAAATTTGAAATTAATTCATGAACTTAATTTCATTTAGAAAAATTTTATTTCATTTTAAAAAACTAAACGAGGTCATTAATTAAGATTGCGCAAAATACACTGACCGAAGATAAGGTTTTCTTAAATCAAATAGCTAGGGTGATTTATTCTTTTTCAGTAACACTTTTACTTATATCCAAATGCCGTTTTAATTTTTTGACAGAGAAAATTTAAATAAGTTTGGTGAAATGGAATTTTCGGAATTCCATTGGTTAGACAAACCCCCCTCGAACCGGTGTTCAAGACACTGAAGCCATTTGGGTGAGAACTGGTCCGTTAAATTCCAAAGATATAATACTCAGTGAGTATTTTAGGGACGTCTTATGTTTGAACCTACACTGGTCTGAAAGGCTATGGTTTCAGCTTTCATGAGTACTGATTTACACTCCCAGAACCGGCTCCAACCATAGACATTCCTCTACGATCTCATCTCCGTTTTAATTAAAATTCAACTTTTATTTTGCCTTATTGATGGGGGAAAACAAGAAGAAATGTTCTTTTGGGGCGATTTCTTCGATAATACTTAAATACTCTTTTTGAATTATTTTCGACAAAAATTATACACCACATAACTTCTCCCTAGAGAGGGTAATGGTTTACTAGTAAAGTTCTGCTTCGCTCAGTCAGGGACTGATCGAAAGCTTGCATGACTGAAAACCATGCTGTTTCAAAAATGTTTATTCATAATATATACGCCTTTTAAATCACCTTGAAGATATACCTAGTTGTCTTGGTAATAATGTACAAAAACGACTAATAGATAAATACAGTGTCACAAAAAGAAGAAGTGTGGAGCTAAAAGTGTCACAGTGTACAAGCCGAGTCGAAGAAACCCAGTGACTTACACGGAAAGAATGTTCCTCAATCAGAACTTTTCATTGTGCTATAACATGAATAAAACCGCCAAATGAATATTTAAATATTTTATTTTAGCTTTCCAGAGCATTCTTGCTAACTTTTAGGTGAAGTTCATGACCAGAATACCAAAAGAAATAAAACTTAAGAGAAACATAAGAAAGTCCTATCGAAAGAGTCAGTCGCACAGTGGGAAAGCACTCAGTATAAAACGGCAGAGCGGTAAATTTACTTTGGAGATGTCACGCCTTTGAACATGTACGCCATCAAACATGGCTCGAAATTCCTCAAAATATTAAGTGACTCTGAAATGGGTAACAACTTTCTGAACCTACGGGGAAAGCTGCATAAACCGTTACAAATACTCATTTTCAAGCAATTTCAAGTCGTTAAAGAAACTTGCAAACTCAGTTAAAAGTTCGGTGAACTCAAAGTTTGGGTATGGCGATTCACTGTTTTCGTACATTGACCTCAAAACAATCGTCATCAGATCGAACAAATTACTTATTTGTTCATTTTATTTCGATAGATACGTTCGTAGAAATTAAGTTATGAAATAAAAACTGGACAGGGAGACGAAAAACGCGCACAATTCGACTGTATGTATTGTGCATTTTGATGGCTTGCAGCTCTGACTTTTAGACTACTTTAAACACGTCATAACACAATGGTTTCAAACGTCCTCAAAACTTTTGATCTACTCTGTAAAAGGCCATAACTTTCTTTACTATGTGAAACGATCAATAGCGAAAAAAACCATAACGAAAAAATATAATGATAGCAATTTTCAAGAAAATGCAAAAAATTAAAGTTAAAAACTTTTACAGAGTTAGGAAACTCGGCCCAGGGGGATGTAATTGCTGTTTGAGTCAATTGACTTTGAAAAAGGGTTGACATTAAATCAAATATACTTGTTGAATATAGCACTGTTTGTTGTTTGTACCGAAAGTATCACCAAGGTTGTGACACAGTCTACCAACTAAATGGTATGCTGATAGATAATGTATAACGTTTATTCTAGAAGAAAAATAGAAATCCGCTAATAGGTAAAGTAGTCGTGGATTTTCATTGATCAATCCTTGGTTCGTTTTATCTTTTAATTTTTTCCTTTGAACCTGAGCGACACTGTTAATAAAGAACTGAAATACACCACCATTCTTTGTTTATAAATTAAAGTTTACGTACTGGGCCAGCCGACCTTCTGAATGCGGAAAAAATAGTTCCCGTTGCCATTCTTTCTTGGTCGTTCGGAATACTCATTAAAATTAAATTATCTTAACAACCAATGTAAGCATTTTCCTTTAGCATACTTTTCGCTTTCAGCCGGCTGAAGTACATCTTACACCAAAATTCCAGAACAACTTGCAGAAAGCCTGAAAGCAATGTTGTTCATTTCGGCAGGTTAGTAGCAATAATCACAGTCATACGATTTTACCTTACCTCATCTGCCATGTCTTGGCGCCAAATGCTACAAATTCCGTCACCTTCTTTAATACTTTGCCAATTAGCAGTGGATTCTTAGCTTAAACGCTTGTTCCAATATGATAAATGAACGCTGTTCATGTTGCATTCTGGCTTGAGACGATCTGTCTAGAATCCACTCACACTGACATACCTCTCTTAGTGTCCGAGTTCGACCGAAAATAAAACTCGATTATCATGTGCAAAATATCACAAATGCAAATTGATTGTGCTCATTCTGCATAGCAAATGTCCCGGTAGAGTACTTAAAAAACAAAGAGTTCTAAATCTTTTCTTCTTTTCCGCTAGAGTGTAACATTGCTTTGTCTCGGACTAATTATTCGCATAATTATGTTCAAGGCAGTTTAAGCGCGAAACTCCAACGAAACAAATTAAACCGTTGGTGTTTCAATAGTATAAAATGTTTTGTTTCTAAATATCTCTAGTCTACTCAAATAATAAATTTTTGTGTCTATAAATGGTTTAATTTACACCTTGCATTCTACTGCTGAATTTTTTTGTCTTTTTGTTTTGTTCTATTTTCTACTCCCAAGACAATTGAAGTTTACGATGACTGTCTTTTGAAATCATTTAGTGAGGTCTAAAAGTTACTACTGGGTATGGAGGTTTGAGTCGGGAACTTGGCCAAAACAGCTCTAGCTACCATTTTTAAAGAAACAAACTAAAACTTTGGCCAATTATATTTTGACCTATTTTATAATAAGATATCAAACCTCACCTTAATAATTCGACGCCTGGCCTGACAATGCGAACGGAAAGTTCTACTGCGAGTCTTGAAACCGTCTCAGTGAGGCTTTGTAAAAAGAACAAGCCGAGTTTTCATTTGTATACACATATGCCGACCTCTCTATATAATACGAAGACTAACCAAAGGTTCTTGGCGCGTCAGCGGACCATCTCTCAACGCGACAACTGTCTCTATCTCACGGATACTGGTAGTGAATACTACTTTCAGACACTTTGATCTGACAGTCAAAACTACTTTTTTTAAATAAAAAAATATATACCTCCCAGTATAGTGAAGAATGACAACTGTTTCGTTGTCTTGGCAAACTGGTCACTACCAATCAGTTAATCAGTTACTACGCCACCACGTACTCTTTATTGTGATACCATGTCTCCGGTTATTTTTAAAAACAGCACGGCTCATTTCATCAAACTCTAGGCAACAAGTATTGGCCTTGTGACCAGTGTGACAGACGGTATATAAGTGTTTGAGGACAAGGGGTACTTTGTCACGTCGAGAGTAACGCGATAGCTGAAGTCACTCTCTTTCTAAACTGAATACAGTAAACCCCCTTCATAGCGGACACTGTTAGGACCTCGAGTAAGCGTCCTCTTAGCGAGAGTCTAATAGAGGAAGTTTAATTGTGTCAAACATCTGTAATTCATTTATGCCTGGGGTTTAGCTACTGTTCGTTTTATCGGGGTGTCCGCAAGGCGAGAGTTGAATATAGTTAGCGTACCTATGATTTATTCCTATCTAGTTTTTTATTTTTGTCTTTTCAGTTGTATTTTTTTTAAGCTTCCTCCGTTGAAAAGCCTCATTTCCCTTCAGATTCTTCTTTGGAAAGCCACATTTCCAGTGAGCTGTTAATTGCACCTTTTATGAAACAATTGAGTGTAGATCGACAAAAATAGGCAGATTCTTAATAAGGGAGACGGGAAGGAATGAATAATGGCCTTTGAAAACACTTCGAGCGCTTACCATTGGTACGGAAATTTCGGTAAAAAATTTCCGTCAAATGGTACGTACTGGTATTTTTTAGGCACCGAAAAAAATGTTTCGCTTTCTCTCGACATGAAGCCTGGCACTAGTAATCCAGGCAACTATTACAGAAAATTTCGGTCGTTTCGGTAAAAACGGGAAAAAGGTAATACTTCGCAAGGTATTACTTTTTTCTCCGGAAAATTTCCACCGTGATAAACCGTTCCATTTGAATTCTCCCTCGAATTTCCGGGTTTTCCATAAAAATGGTAAGCGCTCTTCATTCATTCTGAAAACGATTTAGAATCGACACTCCGTAGTTAAAGCGGCTAACTTCATGAGTGAAACCTTTTAGCTAATCATACGATAAGCAAAGAGCAAAAAAAAAAAGAAAAAGAAAAACCGCAAGCAAATAGCCTGCGTAGAAGGGGCTAGGAAATAAATGGGCGTGAGAAAGAACGGGCGCGCAACAAAAACAAAAAACAGTGAGATGATACTTAGTCTTACAGGTGCACTAGTAGCTTTGTGTCCCTTTCGGAAACAGAAAAATCTTATACATAAATTGACCAAGAAATTCTAGCTTTGTTTCCAATGAAATAGAAGCCTTTTTACAAAAAGAAAAGGAAGAATGGATAAAAATGATTATAAAAGTTGTGATTCCAAACCGTCTTGAGTTTGTTTGCATCGCGTCTTTTCTTAAGCATGTGAAGTTTTATAAACATCCTCAACGCAAAATAACATGGCGAATACTTCTCCATCTATCGAATTCTATAAATCAGAGGGATGTCCTTATTTGAAAGAGGTGGCTTGGCGAGACGAGTTCCTTCTGACGGAAGGAACCTACAACCATCTGGTCACTATAATCAGCATCAATTCCATCTCAGTTTTACCTACTGTGCTGTTGAATGCTCTGGTGATCTTTGCAGTAGCAACGAGGGAAAGGTTGCGAAATAAATCAACAATCCTTTTGGCTTGCCTGGCCGGGGCGGATCTCTTGACAGGGTTGGTTGGACAGCCGATACGAATCGCGGTAGAAGTGGAGCGAATATTAAAGAAGGGGACTTTCTGTGGAGCTTTGGAAAGAGTAAGCTTTGTATCCGTTGGATGCCACATCTTCGCGACCTTAACTCATCTTGTGTTAATAACTATTGATAGGTGCATTGCTGTTAAAAAACCATTGAGGTATCGAGATATTGTCACAACACGGCGAGTCATCTGCGGTGTGCTTTCAGCGTGGGGTTTTACGATATATGTAACAATTCAAGAAAGCATTCTTGCTGCAGTAAACAGAGCTTCAGACATTTACAATGTTTATAATAACGTATCGTTCTCAATGCTTACCACATTCGGTTTAATTTGCATAGTTTTTATCATAGGAATATACTTGTACATTTTCTCGGAAACCCGGCGTCAACAAAGAACACAGACTGAACATTTAAGTGTAGAAGAAATAAGAACAATCAGGAAAAATAACAAAGGGGCCAAAACCCTAGGAATCATCCTTGTTGTATTAACTGCAACGTACTTGCCAGCAATAATAGTCATTATATTGGGTTTTTCCGTAAGTCTAGAACGGCATGTTTCAAACCGTTTTGCGGGCTGGGCGGCAACGTTAATCATGTTAGGTTCCCTGTGCAATCCAGTTATTTATTGTTGGCGCATGAAGAGATTTCGCCGAGCATTTTTGCAAATTCTTCATTTGGGAAAACAAGAAAATAACCAGCCACAGGAAGCGATACAGATGCAAGTCATTGAACAAGTCGTTTAATTGTCAAAATCAACAAACGAATTATTGACTTTTACGCTCACTTAAGTCCCCTATCAGTGTATACACGTAGTGTATGTCTATTTCGTCAGTCTATCAACAACTCAATAAGTGAACGCTACATGTGTTCTAGAGGAAGTGTTTTTTTCTAAATGCTGTTGTAAAATATTGCCCTAGTTGTAAGGCTGAGATCTAAACAGCTTGGTTAAGAGAAAACCTTCTTGTTACAGTTTTTTCCTTGCACAGCAACATTAACCATACGACTATAAGTTGAATAACTAATGACTATCAATAAACTATAAACCTCATGCATGCATCCTTTTGTTTAGTTGGTAGTGTATACTGAAGTGATGAATCCAAATACGATATTAAAAAAAAATTGAATTTAGCAATTTATTGAGTTAATGTTGGAGCTCCAGTGAAATACAATTAGAGGAAAAAGATACCGCATACTGAAGACTATGAATGAGGAGATTTAATCTTTCTTTTGGTCAAAAATCAAATTGAATTAGTTTTTAAATGTCAAAAACTTTGAATTGTATTTTGTAAAATGAGAAACCAGTCCAGAGACGAAAGTTTCTACCGATAATTTTCGCTTAGCCCATGCCCTGTCTGAAAAGGTAAGACAATTTTCTCTTTTTTGACCAGCTGCCAGCCGGCCGATATAGTCTAAAATTTGGAAGTTAAATATTTTGTTTTTAAGTATCTCCGTATAAAACAAGATGAAAACGTACGATCTACTTTAAGACTCAATTTTATACATAAAAACGTATCAAAAACGTAAAAATCGATTCGAAATTTAACAAAGGTTGAATTTATGAAAATTTATGAAATTCCCGTTTATAAAAAAGATCAAGCCAAGCTTGAACACATATAGGCCGATTCAATTTGTGCAAAACTCTTTATTCGAACTGACGTTCTTGACACTTTATATTAGTTTTTTTTTTTAATGAAGCATTGTTTATTTAGCATTTATACTCCGCAACAGACAACAAAAGACACTTATTTTTTGACTTGATAATGACGTCAGTCGAACGTTAAAACGTCTAAATATATATATTTTTATTTTTCATTTCTTGACCACTCGAGCTGCCTAGTGGGGGTTGGGGGGGGGGGGGGGGGGGGGGGGGGG